GAGTGTATCACCGTAGGACATATCGAGAAGAGAAAGCTGCTGCTTGCAGACGACCCGTTTTGTTAGGATCTTCTGAAACCGATCTCCATCGGTCTCAGGATAAGTTGGCAGCCGAGTGCGGCGTGGCCGGCATGCGTGGAAACGTGCCTAAAGCGAAAAGACGAGTGATCTCTCGTTCTTCTGTCTGCTGATTTCTTCAGATAAACGGAGAAGCAGTGGAACAGGTGGAGAAGTTCAAGCACCTCTGGATCGTGTTTACTGTTGGAAATGATCGACCGGCGGATATGAGTAGCCAGTGGCACTCAGCGTGATCTAGCATGAACCGTTGTGACTAAAGCAGAATTGAATCTGAAGACTAAGCTTTCGGTTTTCAAGTCGATCTTTGTTCCAATGCTTATCTACGATAATGAGTAGTGAGTAGTGACTGAAAAACTTCGATCCCGAGTACAATGGACTGAAGCGGGCTGTCTGCGACAAATCGCTGGGCTCACCATTCTTGAGATGGTTTGCAGTTTAAATATCCGAGAGTGACTTTGTGTAAAACGGCTGCTTCTTCAGACTGAGAACTAGCAGCTGCGATGGTTTGGAACACGATTTGCGAATGCACCCAGAAAGGAAGGCATAACTAATACTACTTGCTCAACTGACCAGCCGAAGACCCCGGGAACGGCGAAAAATAACTTTGAGCACGAGTCCCGAAGGGCCCTGCTCTATACTCGGATTGCCTTCAGCCGAAACTCTAAGCGGACACAAGTTCTAGAAGAAACAGCCTGACCCATCTGCCTCCGCACCAGAAAGGATAGGTGGCCATCGAAACTGAATGACTGACTAGAAAGTATTTAGGCCAAGGAAAGCCTAGCCTACTCCGCCTTGCTGCGCTGATCGAATATTCTGCTCGTTTTACTGGCCGTTCTTTCGACACTGAAGCTGGAGTTTTAGAAAGCTAGAACGAACAATTTTCGCTAAGAGGAATGCACAACAGCACTGAACCTTTCATTACTGCATGCACTTTCACAGCTGAAAACACATTGTTGCAGCCGCGCTTCATACCTGGTTCGAGGACGGAGTGGGGAGAGATATCGTAACGATGGTTTGTAACGCACCCAAGACATCTTTGGGCAATCGGCCGAAAATTTCGCACTGACATCTGACTGTTCAGCATTACTGTCCCCGGCACAGCTAAAAGCACATAAGTATTTGATCGATCATTGGGCGGCAAGAGGTGCAGTACTTGAAAGCACGCGAAGCATCGAAGCACACATCCTCTTCGCCCTCGCTGTCTGCTCGCTGTTGTCGCATGCTGTGTCGGTGATGAGAATCTGGCCTACGGCCGTTTCATCGCTCGCTTCGGTGTCGAGACGCTGCGAACTCTGCAGAATCTTGATCACTGCCAACAGTTTATCACTAGCAAGGTGAAAAAATCAGCAGTGACAATCAACGTTATCTAACGGCATGAAAAACGCTTACACAAGCCTACACCGTTTACTGTACCGTACATCAGGCATACAATGAGAAACAAAAACATAAAAACGGATATGCAAACAAGGAAATGTGCATGCAGTCGTCAATCAGTCGGTTGGGTGCACGACGATTTACGACCTACAAGTACTTCTGCGCACTGCTGTGGCCAAAGCGGCTTCCCAGATCAGACGCCCGTTGCAAAACTTCACTGCTGTTCGCAAATCCGCCCGACACTTTCAAGTCAACATTGCGGTCGAACGGACGGCGCTCCACTTTTTCTGACTCTTCTCGCTTGTTCAACTAAACAAATTCAGTCACCTAGTGAGCACTTCTACAAAGACAAATACTTCTAGCATTGTGTCCGTCATCGGATTCTCCCAACCCAAATGGATTGTCGATGACACTAAGTCATCACATACGAATTTTAAACTACCTATTCGATTCTGAAGTTAATGCGTTGCCATTGTGGCCGTCGCCGTCGCCGAAAGCAACTCAGCATCAGAATGAAAGCTGGCAGACACTTCGCGTAGAAATTCGAAAACTTTCAACGGTGAAGACGTTCAAGGCGATGTTTAAGGTGCGGTTGACTGTGTAACAAATTTTATATACTGCTTCGCCATTCCAAGTCAATCAATCATTGCCAGCTACAGCAAACAGTATTGTTTGCGCCCTTTACGTATCAGCAACAGAGATAACATCAACGTGCAACATGCACGCGACCAATGCTTCACTACACATCGTGCTGCACGTGATGCAACCGCCTAAGGTGATCGACTGCAAGATACATAAAACTTCAAGACGGACAGCATTGCATGATGCTTAATTTTTGCCCTTACATAAGATGAAGTGCAAAAACAGTCAAGCACTGTTATCTAAAACGAAATAAAAACTATTCTTGCCACTTTACTATTCTAATGATAACTACAATGTAAAATTTCATTGCTGCCAGTCCCAAACCCAAATGAAACGAGGACGGTTGCGGCCCGTGCTGGTCTCTTACAAAATTTTGCCACCTATCTTTTATGGTGGCGTGGCAGCGCAGTGCGTAAAAGGCTGGCTTCGAACTCGAACTCCGTAGGATGGATGGATTCCCGCGGAAGGCAATTTTCATTGTTACCAAGAATTCCCTTGAGCAAGGAATTTACAACACACTGCTTGCCTCAGGCCTGGGTTATTCAGTTGGTAGAGAGTCGGATTCAGAACCGCGAATTTCTGGATTCGAGCCTCGGTATGAACCACTTGCATTCCTTCTTTCTGTAGTTGACCAGTACCATTCTGATGAGTGGAAAGGAAACAGGAGACTATGAAACTGCTTTCAATATAGCTCCTGTCGATTCAGTCTTTAAAAACAATGCACTCTGGCTGATGGCTTAGAAATGGAGATCATTCCACCAATAACTTCATGAAAACAAGGGTGCTAAAATTGGCTCCATCGTATGTGTAAGCAAACCGACATTCCAATGGTTACAAACTTTCGTTTCCCCCATATTTATGCTACTGACGCCATCGAACATTACACCCATTCTAATCGTCACGCTAGTTGCCACGGACCGCGCAGGCTATTGGGAAAGTGAGGTATACCACGAAAACTCGGCGAGGAGAATCTGTTTAAAACCCACCGGAAGCTGTGGACGAAGCAGCATGGCGACGGCTGCTAAAAATCTACACGAAGATGACGACAGTAACAGTCACAGACTGAGTCGTTACCCGTTCTGAACAAGGGAGGCAGACAACGCGATGCCATTGTGGCACGTTCGATAAGGTTCTACGGGAAAGATACGACAATCTGAGCTCACAGGCAGAAATTTGAACATCTCCTCACTCTGAGGAAAAGAGCAAATGCTAACTGATGAGGCACCAAGGTACAGGTTGGACGTCGTTGCTCTCCCGTTAAGAAGACAGGACTGAAATTCTGAACTTCTGCGGATGGAGGCTTGGACACTCAGGTATCGATTTGACGAAGGTGCTGTCTTGGATTTCTGGAAAGCACAGTTTAGCTAACAAATTCAGTGAGTACAAGCCTGTCAGCAGAAGAATGGCAGTCCGAGACGGCTATCGAAGGGGTGACTGGGAAGTCGTAAGGGGTAACAGGGAAGAATGGACTTAGCGATTTTAACAGTAACAGCATGAAGTGGTAGCGCTTTTACGGTAAACAACGAACCGCCTATTATGTACAGCTCTTCGAGCATCGAAACATGGCTAAGTGCGTCTGGCACAGCGAAGCTTATGAACAGAACTTGATAATTGATTTGATAGTAGCATCATCTGAATTACGACGCTCTATAACAGATGTTCGCGTTACGAGTGAGGCAGAGCCGTCAACTGATTACAGCCTTGTTGTAGGTACCTTTCACTGTAAACGATTGAGAACAAAAGAATCAGGGAGTCAACTAGGAAACATTACTACTCTGCGGTTACGATTGTGAAACTAGCAAACAATCACACACGAAGGTTTGAACAAACAACTTAAGTGGAAACTCTCTAAAAGTGATTATATCGCGCTGCTGCTGAAAGCAACGGTTTAAAACGAGCTGGACTGCCGCAAAAGTGTCGAAACATTCCTGGTGGACGCATGAACATCGTGACTGACTGTCAACGAGAATAAGGCTGCATTCGAGAGGTGTAATTTTTAAAACCAAAAAGAATTAAACTTGAGTACGACATGAATAAGCGCGTACGGCGGCAGGTAAACCTGTGCTTAAGGCGAGCGCTGAATCCTTAAAAACGTTAGGTGAGCTGCTGGAGTCGAATTTCAAAACGGCAAAAAAGAGGCTGTAGTAGATCATCCGCCACCTCTGAAATTGAAAAAGGGCAGTCTAAGATTCCTGAAAAACAATCCCAGGAGCCTTCTTACCAAGGAAGATGATACATTTCAGAGATAAAGTATTTTAAGAAAATTCTTCACCCTCGGCAACCATAAGGAGATTGGGCTGAAGTGCATCGAAGGTCAGAGTTTAATCTTTCCGTCGATGACGTCAAGAAGTTGTAATATTCTGGAAAAGTGGCAAGTCTGTTTGAATTGATGCAATCCCTTATCTGAGATTTTTAAAACCTTTAAGCGAATGTATGTTGTGGCTGGCTTACACATGCCTATCAAACAGTAATCACTACTAAATAAACACCAGTGGATTGGAGAATTGGAAAAATTTTAACACTGCTAAAAAACAGATCATAACAAGTGCTCTAATTTTTCGGCATTAAATTACTGAGACCTCTCAGAAGAAACCTACGCGTAAAAATGCCGCAGAATTGCCAACTCCAGGATTCAAGAAGATCAGTGAAGCTTTCACTCAGGTCGAAGCAACTTTTACAAGATCTTCGCCCAACGCCACATTGCTGAAAAAACGTGGAAGTTTGCAAATCCGGTTTACATGTGCTTTGTACACTAGAGAAAACCTATGACTAGATCCCACGCAATGGGTCACTGGCGGGCCTGCAAACATATGGGATCGATCGCCAGTTACAAACAGCCATTCAGTCACTATATGTAGATAGCAGGAGCTGTGTCAGAGTCAGTGGCATTAAGTCCTAATGAAGCATTTGTAAGAAAACAAAATGGTTAAGAATTAACTTAGGCAGGTTAGATTTTTTAGCGTTGGCACTGATATTCGCCACGACTGTGTTCTGTCCCCTCTTCTGTTTGTGTTGTACATGGATAAAATAGTCAGGCGAAGCCAGGGTGATGAGTATATCAGTGTAAAAGATATTGAGACGATAAGGTTGCTGTTTGCAGATGATCTTGTTTTGCTGGCATCTTCTGAAAACGATCTCTAGTACTGTCCAGAAAGGTTCCCATCGTGCTTAGCAAAACTCTAAAACAATAAGCGTTTTTTGGCCGCTGCGCTCCGCAGATAAACGAGCAGTGAAGAAATCGACCTGCGTTGAGGTCGTGTAAAATGGAAGAGATCACGCGAATCGGAATGGTTTAGTGGCGTTCTGCGTGAACTTTTTGAACTGTTGTGATTAAGACAACTGTTTGTACTCAATTCGACTTTCATTCCCATGCTCACCTACGGTCATGAGTCGTGAGACATTACGAAAATCTTCGATTTTGGGTACAAGCGGGTGAAATGGGCTTCCTGAGATGAATCGCTGAACTTATGCATCTCGACATAGTCTGGAATAAAGATATCTGGCAGAGCTTCGGTGTACAGAGGCTACTTTTCCAGACTGAGAGATCACAGCTGTGATGCTTTGGATAAGTCTTGCGAATGCTTTCAGAAAGGAAAAATAAACAGGCACTACTTGTTCAATCGACTAGTCAAAGAACAAGGGGACGGTCAAGAATGACTTACGGCAAGTGTCTCGACAGACTACTCCAGACTCGATTTCATTTCTACCATAATCATACGCCAGCGTCAGAAAGAGGAACATTGGAGACAATGTCTGACTAGTCTGACTTCGCAACCCTAAAGGACAAGCGAAAATTGAAATTGACTGACTACTATTAATAAACAGCAAGGATGAAACGACATTTTGCTGACACAGATCCCGTTAAAGAGCCCATTTAATGAGGAGTCACTTTTAAAACAATCGCTAGAAGGAATGGCTTCCTAAGTGGCAAAGAAACACCGCTATTCTGTAGCACCGCGAGATTCACCAATGTCGGAGGACTAGCTAGCGAAATGAAACTGCGAGCTGCAACTCGACGAATGTGGCACGTGATAGCAGCCCAAATCACAGGTACTATATGACAATCGTACGTACGGTGTTATAAAAACAAAACAGCGCTTCGCGGAAGTACTTTGTCCATAACAGATCGACAGGTGTTTAGCACGGCTATAACATAGTTACTCAAACGCTCACTTCAGCTTTCCTTTTACGGTTCTGACGGTTAATCTCGACCAGAGATAAAGAGCGATCTTGGTTCCACGCACCGGCGTCTTTGTCCATCTTCTCATCACGCGTCCTCAATGCTTGCAGCTCGAGAACTTTATGAAATGCTGCAGCGGATGTGTTCTAAATTCGGAGTAAAACAATTTTAAAAGAGCGAGCGTTTCAAAACTCAACTGTACTTCTGCTTCCTCTGGGATGGCATCGGTCGGCAACTTGGTCCACAGTGAGCGATTCGCAGCTCTGTCACCGGCATCTCGCTTCTGAAAGCTGCGCGCACCAAGACCGTACTGTTTCATTGCTGATGGAAGTTCGGTCATCCACTCTTCACGCGTTTTGTGTGCCACCTAAGTCATACGAAGTGGTAGAGAAATAATTGAAGCAATTTTGACAGTTCAAAAAAAAGTTAACAACAAAGCAAGAATCTGGAATTACAAATGTATTTTCATTCTAACAGAGACAAACTCTGTTGCAGTACCGAAAATCTTTGGAAAATAAGTAAATTTCCATTAGAAAAGCTCAAAACATACAGAATAGGAACAAGAACTTAGGCAACAGACTAAAGTGGACTTACATTAGACAAAAACTTCGAGACGTTTGGAAGCGGTTAGCGCTGCCAATAAAATGATCATATAACGTTCTTAAAAAATCTGGAAAGCATTGAAAGCAGTACCTTAGTCAATTTGAACAGATCATGCACAGGCGTGATTGGAGCCAAGCTACCTGCGTAGCACTTAAAGTACTTAAAGCTGCTGCGTATGAATTCGACTTTAGATCATCATGGAAAAAGACAAAAACGCAGAACGTCACTGCAGGGAAATCGACCAAAAGTGTGTCGTTGATGGCTGAACGGCGGAAAGAATCCAGTTATCTACTAAATAGGCAGTGATTCGCTAAGCCGAATGTGCTGCAAGGATTCATTTTAAAACCTCTAGTAAAACGTCACACTTTAATCGGAGCATGATATTTCCCTTATCTGGAAAAGTTGTACAGATTCTGCCTTGTGGGCAGGAAATTCCGTGAATATGGTATCCAGATCCTCCGTGAATAGAAATCAGAAGAGGGCTACGATTTTACACGAATTTACAAAGACTGCCCATGGCTATTCAGTGGATGAATTTTATCCGTAACGTAAAAGCCAGCAGGTGAATTCATTCAACGTAGAAACGTGTATTGTCGATCAGACACATGGAAGAGACTCTGTGGCGGTATGCACGTAGAAGAGTGACGTTAGCAACTGTAAGCAGTCGTACTGTTTTTAAAGACTTTTGCGCAGTTCAGAATCCCCGCGGACGATGCTGTCCATGCGCTGTTAAATAAATGAACCCAATGTTCGGTCTAGCATATTGCAAAAAAAACAAAAGCAACTTATAATCGTAATATGATTTTAAAAACAGACAACAGTATGAGCATTCCACAAAAAATAACATTAAAGGCCTATGGATTAGCAATCGACGATGCTAATCGACCTCCGTGCTGTAACTCAAAGACTCAATGTAAAACCGATCATGCTGCAGTTTCTGTCGATAAGCATCAACCACAGTTACAGATTATAGATAAAAATTGGAAGAAATTTATGCTGCAGCATCACCGACATGTACTAGCCGTGGACTAAGGATGGACTGTGTGCCTTACTGTTAATCCGCGAAAAAAACCTTCACCACTCATGAGAAAATTAAAAGGGCGCTGCACTGATCAAACTTTTCAAACATGTCTCAAGAAAACGCTACTGACCAAGTACATGCATGAAACAATAATCAAACGCCAGGACCCAAAAAAGTACAGAACCTAATCCGCATAGCTTTCCTGTAGGAGAGGTATTTCCTTTCCTTTCCATAGCTTTCCTTATAGGGGTATTGACAGTTACCACACCGATTTACGGTCCGTATCCTGTTAAAGGACACCTCTGAGAAAGTAATGACAAAGCATCAACTAATTAATACCTTCGACTCCTTGGATCGTCGTACTTCACTGAGTCTGGCCAAGTACACTTCGTCATGCTCCTTCTTTTCAGCCATCTCTGGCAGCGGACCGATTTCACAACCGCTTTCCTCTTCCTGATCGACTGGCACCGAATGATCAGCCGCTGGCGCGCCTTCAGCATGTATATATTCCGATGGCTGCATATCTGGAGGCAACGCCGGTCCATAAAATACATTTTCCTCTGTATTGGAAGATGGCTCCGTCGAGTCGCCCTGAGCTTCCTGATCGTCTTCAACGTTACCTAAAAATGACCAGTAAGTGCTGCAAATGGCATTTCCAAGCAAACTAGCATTCAGTATTTGAATGCTCAATCGGCTGGATTGTAGACTGGACACAGTTTTCGAATACATCATATCTGATTCCTAAATCTCAGTTTACCTATTCAACTGTAATATTGAATTTTTCGATTATGCGTTGGTAATCATATTGCAAGCAACAATACGTGGTTTCACTTCAAATCGTTTAATAAAACCAGCTGGAAATTAAAAGAGCATTCCCGTCAGAGAAAGTCTTGCCCCCACGAAATCAAATTCGAATGAGGAAAAAGATCAGCAATATGCCATGCAGGAAGGGCACTCGCGCAATGCTCAGTATGCAACGACACCGCCAACGAAACAAACTCGTTGAACAGGCAACTGATAAGAAAATACTTAAGAGCAGTCCTGTGACACCGTCAACCGTGACAACGGATACGAGCTCCACGTGGACTGGAAAAGGTTCCTCTCGCTCGTAATGAAGAAACTAGTAGAGCAAGAGCATGCTTTGCGGGCAGAAAAACTTTCGGTTACTAAGGACAGCAAAAACCGAAAAATTAACCGCCATGGCCTAAAGAATTTCCACTACATATAAAGAAAAATGTCCGTAGTGGTTATGATTCGATGAAACATTATTCTGTTTAATATAAAACAACCGTAAAGAACCCCTGCTTTGATTTAAACTACGAATCGGGTGCCAGTTTGGAACGTAAGTTTAAACAACTTCATTAAACTTCTAAGGCTTCTTTTTGATCAAGACCCATCATTTAGCAGCCGAGTGACTCTTCTAAACACGGTTAAGGTACCAAACGTTAAACTAGACAAAATCTTCATCCGAATCTTACATTTAAACGTTTGACTGTGCTTCGAGAAGCGATTATCACTAGATTGCTTCAGTCGTTGTTTCTCATGGAGAGAGCATCTCACTTTCCCGCAGATATGAAGATGTTCTAAAAGCACAGCGAAATCTAAACAAAAATTTAAATCTCAAAGTGTTACCAAGATTTCCCCATATCAATAATTTGCAGCTGTTGAACAAATCGTTTTCCATACATCAGTATGGAGTCTAGCCAGAAACTCATAATCTACGGAGTAGTGATGTGTTGTCCCAAGTTTACGGAGGGGAATTCTGCTGAGCTACTGTAAATGGCCGCCTCAAGGATAGTACCTGCATCAGCATAAGAAGGCTGCTACTTATGTGCGTACAGTCGGCGGCACGTACATAGCTGAGCCATCATTCATACTCATGAATTATAATTGCAGAGGTCGAAACTGTATTTCAAATGTACGACCTTGTTGAAATTCACCAACAGTCGTTCAAAATTGACGAAAGAGTTAAGAACGTATATTCCACAGCTGAGATATATAAAGTCTGATCACAACATTCAGAAATGTCTCAGAAATGCAGTTCAAAATCCCACTAATAAGCCATTAATTAAACGGCGAATAAATTACAAAAATCAATAGTGCTGCTGGTACAAGAGTGAGAAATAGATTTTTCCTTCTTTACACTGTGCGTTTTAGCCGTTTCAATCCGGAATCGTTATTTTAATGTAGATCATAAAAAATCCATTATTTCTACGGTCTTTGGTGGCTAAGGTGTAGTTCGATTTGGCGGAATTATGCATATTAATAAACTTGGATGCAATACTTTCTGAATTTGCCGTTAAAACATACTAGGAGCAGGGGCTCTCCAAATATCAAACGTATTGAACAATGTATTCATAAAGTCAATAAAATGATTTGATGCAATGCACAAGGTGTTAACATCCCATGCTGCTGAAACCTGCTTAAATAGGTGAATGAATGCGACTAGGAGCAAATAGCGAATTTATAACGCCGTATCTCCCGGCTTGACTGAATGGGGCGCTTACTAACAGTCTCAAGGTGAATTTATATTTACTGCTTGGCGAAATCATATATGGCACCACGGATGTAAAATGTTCGCGTCGAGAAAGAAATTGCAGCAGCCAATAATATGATGCGCTGCAGAAGCTCAGGTATTATGGAACCATCACCTGTTTAAATAATCGCCCAGGCATCTCTAGGAGAAAGGGGCGGTATCATGACACTGTTTAGCATGGTATGATGAAACTGGACCCAATAACATATTACTGTCCTCCCGACAGAAAAACTGTATCGTGTTGTGTTCCAACAAAACAATTGTGCCACGTTTCAGTGATGTGTAGCTCCAATGCACGATACAAGAAATGATTTATACAACATACAAGACCTGGTTTAACTGCGGATAAGGTTTCGGCAATTCGAAGTTAAGATTGGTTCTATCGACAGGACCGAGAAACTGAAACAGGTCAAAACAGGTAATAAAGTATGTTTTAAGGGTACATGTCACATTGACCTATACACCGATAACTTCAATACGGCTACCAACCGCTTCAATACCAGGTACAAACCGACATGCAGAACCAACATGTACTTCACATAATACCGATTATAATATAGAAGTCAGTAAGTGTATACCGCTTCAACTCTCGCGTGTCTTTTGCTACAAACTCATTACCATATTGATGCAATTTTGCCTTTAAACCCAAATCATTCAAAATATATCAAGAACAGCCACTACTCCCGAACCTAAAAGAGCTTGTCAAAAAACGGAGGAGGGTAACTAGTCCAGGTTGATCCTACCCACAGGTGACTTGCCACCTTTAGATGCAAGGTCGTCGCGGATTCTGCTCCAGATTTAACGGTGGTTGCGAACTCCCTAAATCCCAGCTAAACTATTTAATTAATTAAATGGAAATATCTACTGAAACCTAGTTAGATCGATTTAATGGATCCAAATAGAACAAACTCAAGTTTAACGGACAGCATTCTCCTTTTTCTTTTCGTTTCTAGTACCGATACTAATGGCTATTCTCTGACTGCTATGTTGGTACTATTTACGTACTACCTCAGTGAATGTCAGTACAAAGTCGAATTTACTTTAATTCAGAGTGATGTCATCATTAAAAAATGAAACCGCATTTATCAACGGCTATTACTGCGCACGATATTATGTTCGCAAAACATGCAGAATGTTAGATATCAATTCATCATTTTTAGATGTTATAGGTTTTATAGATAACTCTGTCGCATTGCAACATTGTTTCTGTCCGTTAAAGTCAGCCCTTTCTCTATTAAACAAATCACGTTTGATAGACGCAACTATTGAAAACACATCACTGTTTTAATACAAGGTGTGGTGAAAGTTCCTGGAAGATGTCAAGCGTCTATGGCTGTAAAATTATTAGTTTTCAGAAGCTTGAATTCTTATTTTCATGCCCCTCATAAAATTACTGCGAACTCATCGAGTACAACAATTTTATATAACATATGTACAAGTGAGTAAAGATACAGATAGATAAATAACATTATACAGAGTAGGTCACAGAATTTTTACAGAGCATCGTAATTTAAGTTAGAATTAATTTGTGAATTTTCTTAGTGATAATACACGTAGATTAAATCAGATTAAAAGCAATTTTTTATTACTGAATAGTAAGTAGACACGGTTACACAACAACAGTACATATTGCTTAGTTTGTTCTCTATCAGAAATATTTTGAGAAATTATCATACAATGGATAAAACAGGAAAAAACGTATGGAAATAAAACAAGAATTAGAACTAGCTGATAAACTACAATCTGGAGTCCTCATCAAACGCGTTTGTGAAGAACGTGGGTGCTAAAAACAGTCACATATTCACAAAGCTGAAGATAAATTAACAAATTTTTTAGAACCTTCCCCGCAAGATGCTGTGTTGAAATGGTAAACACATTAAAATCGATTTCAATGCAAGTGATGGGCAGCTACAGTTGTCTTGCAAACGCCATGGGATTATGAATAAGAGAATTTACGAATTTACAGATAGTCACTAACCACTGTACTGGTACGATCGGTGAAGATACTGCCGTACTAGCAAACTGCTGCTGTACTAGCACGATATTGCTGTGTTAACAATTTCTACGCAGTCTATCCAACAGAAACAAAACACTCAATTTAAAATACGTTTCTTTAATGGAGTAAGACTGAAATTTACAAACATGTTTTAAGTTACGCCAAGCTAAATCGAGGGTAAGCTGTGAGAATTCTGATCAGTTAGTTCTTTATGATGGTATTCTGGAATTCCGGACAATTCGAATTTCCTATTAACAAGCGAACGTGTGCAATTATGATTTGTGTGTGCTGCATACAGCATGTTCCTCGTGTTTAACCTTAATCCAGTTATGCCGCTGATAGTTGACCATGCCATTTACAATGTTAATCAGATTCGCCAAACAACAAGCATTGCGAGAAGGATCTGTTCAGCTTTGCTCAAAGAGCAGCCCTACTACTGAAATCAAAGCAGCAATGCAGGTATTAGCTTTAGAATCATCACTGTTATCCACAAAAATTTCATCCGCTATTAAACAACGGATCACTGCCAGCCCTGTCAGCGGGTGGTAAAACTTCATGTGCTATGATAACACAGTTTTAATGTTGCAGTCGGCGCGATTCGCTGCTGCATACCGGTGAACGAAGTGATAAAATAAAGATTGCTGCATGCAATGCAACTGAAGGTAGCGTCCACCACCAAACAATCAATGATCTTTAGAAACAAGCGTAATCCAATATCCGACTTACAGCAGGTGCCGTCTTGAATTGTACCCGTATAACGATGGTCACATCTAAAAGAGTAATAATGACACAATCTAGTGTGGCATTTCAGATTCTTACTCCCTTGATCAAATTCATTGACAGGCTGCAGCCGAGTGAAAGAAAAAAGGTCGAACCGAACCTTGGAAAAATTGGACCATAAAAACGGAGCTGAACCCTACGACGAATTAATTACACACTGACCGCAACAGACGACAAACATCTGAGAGGTGATGTGGAAAGTGTCACCTGATCGTATGGCATTCAAGTACAGACTGCAGGGTCAATCTAGCAAGCCTTCACTCGGAAAGCATTAGCCTAAACGACCAGATGTGTGAGAACATAAATAAGAAACAACAAACGTCAGTAACGTGCAACACTTAATAAGTACCAGAGTCAAGTTCCATACCGAATCACAGATTATTTATAGTTGTTTCATCCTTAGCAAAGACTAACATAACTTAAACAGCATAGTAACCTAATTTGGTGTCTGGCTGTTAGAAATCGTAATTCAGATTGGTATTAAGCAACGTACACTGCGGCTGCAAAGGTCATTTTCTTCATCGCAAGCATGTCTGCCTTAAAGAGGCGCTTAAGGTTTTGCATTGTACTCCAACGCGTCTCAAGCCGATCGACGGCTCTCAAACGAGAAAG